GTTAAATACTTTCATGATAGCTCTTTTAGCTTCTAACCAATCCCTACTTGTGACTTCTACTAAAGTAGCAAATTTTGAGTAAACGTCGATACATGATAAAAATTGTTGGTTACCCACCATATAAAAATCCATGACAAATTTCTCTCTTATATTTTGAATTTCTGGTGTAAGTTCGAATGTCAATTTGGTATTTCTATGTTCCGTTTTAGCACATTCATTTATTATATTCTGAATTAATTTTTGATAATCAGGGAAGTAATATTTTTCTCTAAACCATTTAGTAGTTTTTTCGATTCCTGGATGTATAAGGTCTTTGTGACGTTTCAATATTTTTTCTTTAAAATCTGCGTATGTCAGTATGTCTTCAAGTCTTGCCGTACATCTTACTAATTTCGTCAAATGACTTGAATTTATAATTTCCACATACGCTTTTTGGAATATAAGGAAATCTGAATCTTTATGGAAATATATTGCGCTCTTCTTGGTACATAGGTATTCTTTAATTATCTCTTTTGCTAAAGTTTCCGTCATTTCTTTATAAATAATTTGAATTTTTAATTTGTGGAAATAATGCGTTACTTCTGTTTTATCTTCATCTCCTTTAATTACTTCAATTCGTCGGGAAAAATAATTAAATGGTCTCTCAGTTATAGAAATATAGTTCTGGTTATCTTCTTGAGCACTGTGTGCTGTTGCGTTTCCACTACTGGCTGTCTCTTCTAGTACATTTTCCTCAATATCATCTGTAAACATATTTTCTCCTATTTTGGTCCTGGATAAAGCGTCAGCAACATAATTTTCTTTACCTGGCAAATATTTAATTTGATAATCAAATTCGTTTAATTTTATTTTCCACCGTTGTAGTTTCATATTTGGTTCTTTTATATTATTCAGCCAGAATAGAGGTTTATGGTCGCTTAATATTTCTAATGACCTACCGAATAAATATGATCTAAAATATTTGGTAGCCCATACGATTGCTAAAAGTTCTTTTTCAATAGTCGCGTAATTTATTTCGTGCTCATTAAGAGTTCTGCTAGCATAACAGATTGGTTTATGATTTTGTGACAGTACTGCTCCTATAGCCATGTTACTTGCGTCCGTTGTTAGAGAAAATGGTTTATTAAAGTCGGGATAAATTAAAATTGGGTCTGAGGTAATTAAAACTTTCATTTTTTTAAATGCTTCTATGTAAGGTTTGTCTTTAGTATTGATTGTGGCGCCTTTCTTTAATTTCACTGTCATTGGCCTTACGATATGTGCAAAGTCTGGTATGAATTTTCGATAAAATCCACACAATCCTAGAAATGATTTAATTTCTTTTGGAGATTTTGGTATTGGAAAATTTATAATGGCTCTTATCTTTTTTGGATTTTGGTTTAATACCTGTAGTAGTCACTACGTGGCCTAAAAATTCTGTTTCCTTTTTCATGAATTTACATTTGTCTAGTTGTAATTTTAAATTTGCATCACGTAATTTTTGAAATACCTTTTTCAATGATAAAATGTGTTCTTCCAATGAAGTGGAAATAATTATAATATCATCTAGATATTCCAAAAAATCTGTATAGATTAAATCCTCTAATAATTTGTTCGTACATCTTTGAAAATTGGCGGGGGCGTTTTTAAGACCAAATGGCATTCGTGTGTATTCGTAATGACCGTGTTTTGTTGAGAATGCTTTTTTAGCTATTGATTCTGGTTCCATTTGAATTTGGTGGAATCCTTTGGCTAAATCAATGGTATTGAAATATTGGCATCTTCCCAATTTGTCTAATATTTCATCCATTCTGGGTATCGGAAACTTATCATTGATAGTGATCTCATTATACCCTTGCAGAGGATATTATGATTTCAGTCAGAAGTTTGCAACACAGTGAAGGAGACGTTTCCGACCCCATAAAGTATATATATTCTTGATCAGCATCACTAGACGAGTCGATCTAGCCATGTCCGTCTGTCCGTCCGTTTCTACGCAAACTAGTCTCTCAGTTTTGAAGCTATCGCGATGAAACTTTCCCAAAAGTTTTCTTTCTATTGCAGGTAGTATATAAGTCGGAACCAACCGGATCGGATAACTATATCTTATAGATCCCATAGGAAGGAAACGTTAAAAAAATTCTAGCTTCGGTGTTTTTTGAAATAAAACCTTCTACTCTTGGAAATATTATTTTTTAAAATTTCAGAATTTCGAATAAAATATTTTGAAAATCGGACGACTATATCATATAGCTGCCATAGGAACGATCGGAAAATTAATGGGAAAGTTACACAGAAATAAATTTTAGCTTTTTTGGTTTTTATTGTGTTCTCTTCTACTTTAGAACATGACTCTTTTTAAATATTTCCGAATTTCAATTTTCATTTTATCAAAATCGGACGACTATATCATATAGCTGCCATAGGAACGATCGAAGAATTAATGGGAAATTAATTGGAAACAAATTATAGCTCCGTTGGTTTTTATTGTATTCTCTTATACTCTAGGTTATGATTTTTTTAATATTTCAGAGTTTTGAATTAAATTTAACAAAAATCGGACGACTATATTATATAGCTGCAATAGGGAAGGATAGAAAAAATAATATTAAAATAATACGAAATTTAAAATTTTTGCGATTTGTAAGTTAATAGGAACGATCTGCAAGGGTATATAAGCTTCGGCTGGCCGAAGCTAGCTTTCTTTCTTGTTTAAATTTCTGTAATCCACTACTAATCTTAACTTCATTTTGCCTGATGCATCGCTCAGTTTTAGAACTATCCAAGTGGGTAACCAATAGGGAGATTTTGATTTACGAATTATTCCCTGTTTAATCATTTCATTTATTTGTTTATTAACTTCTTCATCAAAGGTTTGATGGTATTTATATGGCTTCCTATATACTGGGTCTTCATGTTTTGTTTGTATTGAATGTTTAATAGTACTTGTAAAAGTCAAATTCTCACCTTCCTTGTACTGAATGTCATTGTATTCAAATAAAACTTTCTTTAAATTTTCTCTCTCTTCCTCGTTCAAATGTTCTAATCTGTATTCATTACATTCTTTTAATTCATTATTTATGGCGAAATTGGTCCTTTGGTCCTTTGATAAGGGTGGATTAAGGCATTCTAATGCGGTCTTATCCTCTTCAATCTCCTTTTTAACTGATGGTGGACTAAGGCATTTTACTGCGGTCTTGTCCTTTTCTACATCGTTCTCACCATATTTTATACAAAGTAATGTATCTCCTAACGTCACTGTCTCTTCTTCGTAATTTATTTTTGCTTTACTTTCTTTCAAATAATCTCTGCCTATTAAAAAGTCATAATTTTCAGAAAATTTATGTAATTAAAATTTTTGTTTAACTGGACAGATTTTCTAATGTAATGTAATACTTTTATTTAATTCCATTGACCCATTTATTGTGAATACTTTTAATTATTCATCTTGTTCCTCATTATTTCCAAAATTCTGCGTCATTATATTGATAGATGACCCTGTATCTATCATAGCTCTAAGAAGTTTTCCCTTAATCATTACTCTGACATATGGGCAACACTTTCTGTATCCGAGGCAGTTTGCTGAAAATTTACGTCCATTCTATTCTGTGCACTGTCACTCTCTCTCTCTGTCACTCACCCGCCTGGCAACGGGCAAAATAGACATAGTCCTCATCCAAGAGCCATGGATTGTTGGTGACAACATCTGTGGCTTATCAACCCCCACATACAAGCTTTTTCACATTAAGGGTAAGGGTAAACCTAGGACCTGCATTCTCACTAAGACACACTTTAATACATTTCTAATCCCACAGTTTAGCGAAGGCGACCTTACCACGGTCAGGCTGGAGCTAAACTCACACACATCACACCATATCATCGTTTTACCTGGCTCATGACCAAGAGGGGCCACTACCAAACATCATAACACAACAACTCATATAAACATACTCATCTAAGGAACTCATCCTGGGTGGAGACGCCAACTCACACCACACACAATGGGGAAGTACAAATACGAAGGAAAGGGGTGAGTTACTTTATGACTATCTCCTTCAATCCAACTTATTAATCTGCAACAAAGGTAATGACCCTACTTTCAGTCCATTAAAAAGGCCTGCCCAAGCAGAACAGTCAAAACAAAACACAAACCGCCTTGGTGGAACACTACCCTAGCGGCCCTTAAAAGCGACTGCAGAAGTCATTTTAACAGAGCTAAATATAGCAACAGCGAGGCTTTCTGGAACACGTACCATACGAAGCTAAGCCATTACAAAAAGGAAATTAGAGCTTCAAAGCGAAGAGAATGGGCCAACTTCTGCAGTAGCATAGAATCTACAGCGGAAGCGTCCAGGCTCAGAAGAATCTTAGCAAAATCTCCAGTAACCGTTGGATACCTAAAAACCAATGAAGACACCTGGACGGGAAACAGCCAGGAAACTTTAGAACTCCTGCTAGACACCCACCTCCCCTTATAACACGCAAGCAGTAGAGGACCTCCATTTAGTGGAGAGCCTCGACGAGCAGAGCATAGACAACATTTCAAACCCTGAACGCATCAAATGGGCGATTAACTCTTTTAAGCCCTTCAAATCACCTGGCCCTGACGGCTTTTTCCTGCACAACTTCAACGAACAATAGATACTACCCTTCCATGGCTGACGGTCATATTCCACGGCTGTCTGGCACTGAATCACATACCATCCAGATGGCTGGACATTAAAGTAATGTTTATACCAAAGGCCGGCAAGCCCTCTCACACCTCTCCTAAGGACTTCCGTCCAATAAGCCTCTCCTCCTTCTTGTTAAAGACCATGGAAAGGCTAATTGACACACACATCAGACTAACTACCAACCCTAGTTTACATGCGTACCGTAAAGGCAGATCAACAGATACTGCCCTTCACTCCCTAGTATCTTATATAGAGAGAGGGTTCCATAACAAGGAATACTCCCTGGCAGCCTTCCTAGACATAGAAGGCGCTTTCAACAATGTCACCCCAACGGCTATCACTGGCGCTATGACGGAACTAGGCATTGAGCGTCCTATAGTGGGACTCATTCACACCATACTCACCAGTAGGGTAGTATACTCCACTATGGGATCAGTACAATCGACTAGGAACGTTAGTAGAGGAACACCGCAAGGCGGTGTACTTTCCCCTCTGCTATGGGTTACAGTTGTTAATAAACTTCTATCACTTCTAGAGGAAGCGGGAACAAAAGTGGTGGCCTATGCGGACGACGTGGTTATCCTAATGCAAGGAAAATTTCCTCAAACGCTATGCAACCTGATGGAGACAACCCTATCCTCACTCTCAAGGTGGACAGTGCGCTGCGGACTGGGTGTCAACCCAGAAAAGACAGAATTAGTTTTATTTACAAGGAAGTATAAGATACCAAGTCTAACTCTCCCAAAACTACTCCAAACTCGCCTTACTCTTAGCAACCAAGCAAAGTATTTAGGCGTCATCCTAGACAAGAAACTCCTCTGGGCAGAGAACATCGCGGACCGCACACACAAAGCGGCCATAGCACTCTTTGCTTGTAAAAAAGCTATAGGGAGAAAGTGGGGCTTCTCTCCCGTAATAGTTCACTGGCTATACACTCGTCAGACCCATACTCCTCTATGGAATCATCGTCTGGTGGCACTCCCTAGAAAAGAATTGCAACCTAAAGAATCTGCACAAGATCCAAAGAAGCGCAGAACTCTGCATAAGTGGGGCGCTTCGCACAACCGCCACTGAAGCATTGAATACAATTCTTGACCTAGAACCTCTAGACCTGCTTGCCAAAAGGTGGGCATCAGCAACGGCGCTGAGGCTCCGCGAAGCGTCGGCCTGGTCAACAGGTTCATCAGGTCACTCCCGTATACTTACAAACCAGCGTTATATACCACACAGAACAGACTACGTCCTACCCACAGTCAACTTCGAAAAAACTTATAAGGTTCTCATACCCACCCGCTCAGAATGGGACCACCTCCCTCACCAGATTGAGAACGCCGTCAACATATACACGGATGGCTCCAAGCTTAACTTGCAAACAGGAGGGGGAGTTTTCTCGCCTGAACTAGACATAAAAGTCTCCTTTCGACTACCAGAATACTGTAGTGTCTTCCAAGCGGAAGTGATGACAATCCAGGAAGCCATGTCTTACCTGGATACAACAAAAAACACTAAAACACAGACATCTTCATCTTTTCGGACAGTCAAGCAGCCCTCAGGGCCCTCGACTCCTACTCAACTAACTCACTTACTATCTCTGAATGCCGCAAATCTCTGAACGAGATGGCCACTCATCTCAGAATCAGCCTCATTTGGGTGCCTGGACACCGTAACATTGAAGGCAACTGCATAGCGGACGAACTAGCAAGACAAGGGACAACCACCGACATCCTTCGCGATAAGGACACGGTGGGCATGCCCATAGCTACCTGCAAGCTTCTCCTCAAGCAAAGATTGTACACACTCTCCAACAACCATTGGAATACGATCTCAACATGCCACACCTCCAGGCTTACCTGGGGTAACTATAATCCGAAAAGAACCAAAACCCTCTTACAATGTAACAGGGCAGACAGTTCCACCTAATTTATGCCCTCATGGGCCATTGTCTTTTAAGGACACACGCGCGCAGGCTAGGACTCAGCAGCTACGACTACTGTCGCAGCTGTAAACAGATGTAAACAGAAGAAGAGGAGAACATTGAACACCTCCTGTGCTTCTGCCTAGCACACAACCTCAAACGTTTTCAAACACTTGGAAGCTACACGCTTCCAAACCTTGCAGCCATACAAGGCACCAGCATACCCAAACTCCTTTGTTTTCTGAAAAGAACCAACTGGTTCGAGAAACCCAATAACCCATGAGCTAGGGAAATGGATCTTTTCTGAGATCATATGGTATCACAAGGGGCCCATGGCGGCCTAAGTGAGGGGATTAGTTTATAATCCCCAACCATGCTCACCTAACCTAACCTAACATAACTCTCTCTTTGTCTTTTAACAGGTGTATTCGGAGAATTATTGGAAGTTGATGCTTGGAAATATAAGGGGTTTTGGGCCCTACCTTGATCTAAGTTCCTCCTACACTCTTGATAATTTCCCTGATTTTGAGGGGGAATTTGATTTCTATTTGGTGAACTTTGAGAAGTTGTTGAATTTGAATTATTATTGTTCCTTGAATAATTATTATTGTTGTTTCTTGGATAACTATAAGAGTGGGAATTGTTTCTTTGATAATAATAATTTTGATGTGTATTTCCCGAATTCCTTCGACTATCGTTGCGCCTGGGTTTATAATTATCAAAAGGGTCTGCATCCCAGTGACCTAGAATCATTGCTGCTTCTTTTAGATTGTTGTAATATCTTTTTTGGACAAGAAAGTATACAATCTATCAGGAAGTTTCCTTTCGATACAATCCCTAATTGTTTTGTTTAAGGAGCTTGTGTAAATAAGCCTGTCTGTTGGATCTGATTCTAGTTCTAACTTATTGTGTACATTTGATGATCGGGATTTTAGTTCGTTTACGAACTTACTGATGCTTCCTTGGTATGGGGTGTCACGAACGTGCTGTATGATGTCCTAGTATGGCCTGTGATCCTTGAAAGCTTTAATTAGGGCCACTTTTGCTGTTCCCCATGTATTCGACTTGCATCGATGACTGCTTGCGCGGAATCGACGATGGTCCTCTCAATGGCTCCATAGATGATGTGGGTTTGGCGAACATCTTGAGTAGGGTAAAGTTGCAGTAAGTACTCTACTCTGGCAATATAGCGACTTAATTCCGATGGGTTGCCGTCGAAATAAGGTAGCTCTTTGATTAGTCCGATAAGCTGATTCAGATGCAGCTCAGACAACTGCAGTAGCACTGGTGGGTTTGCCATGTTTATATTTTGTTTTCAATATTGACACTTTTTTTAAATTTCAAGCGCGTATTGACCGAATTGGATTTTTATTTTAGTTTCTTATTCTTCTTTAGCGGATCTCGATATTTGTCGTTTTGTATATTCACGGATTGTTCGCTGATCAGGACAAACTAGTCGTATAGTAATATCCTTTAGTTGATCAGTACCGATGACTTTTAAAATGACTTCAAGATCCTACCGGCTGCGCCAATAAAATGTTTGCACCATAAGTTTAATAAACTGGTTACAATATTTTTTTATTTGGAAGAACACTGACTGTCTTTTGACAAGTCTCAAACTGAACTCGCTTCTTAACTTAAACTGAGTGAGTTTTAAAATTGCCCTTTGGATTGTTGATTGATAATGCACCGGTGACTCAATCCGATTGTTTAGTCTAAATCTTTTGGGGATTCTTTCTCATGGTAATTTTCCATTGAGGGTCCGAAAAGTGTGGACCGGAGAGCGAACTGATAATGTAATTTGATTCGTTCTGGATGTTTAGTCTAAAGCCTGGGTACATTTGCAATTAGATATTGGCTGGTGGCGTACCAAGGTTATCTGAAGGGTGAATTCTGGGATGGTGTATGTGTAAGTGTGTGGGCGTATGGACATGTCACTGTATTCAAATAAAACCTTCTTTAAATTTTCTTTTTCTTCCTCATTCAAATGTTCTAATCTGTATTCATTGCATTCTTTTGATTCATTATTAATGGCAAAATTAAATGATTGGTCCTTTGATAAGGGCGGATTAAGGCATTCTAATGTGGTCTTATCCTCTTCAATCTCCTTTTTAACTGATGGTGGACTAAGGCATTTTACTGCGGTCTTGTCCTTTCCTACATCGTTCTCACCATCTAAACTACTATAAAGGTCTGGGATGGTGTATGTGTGTGTAAGTGAGTGGGCGTATGGACATAGATATATGTGGAACTATGGATATGTCACTATATATAAATTTTAGTATGCAAATAGTTCATGGATTTCATTACTGAAGATAATTTTCCAATAAACATTTGAAAGTGTGTTAGTACGGTTACAGACGGCATAAAAAAATCAACAACATTTGCGATTTAAAAAAAAAACTGGACAGATTTAATTCAAACCTTTTATATATGATTAAGTGTCATTTAAATAAAATCGAATAATTTGTATAGCCGATACTATCGGTTATTGTATTGGTGGTAAAGACATTGCTGGAACTCTATTAAAAATAGCTGTAAACTGTATATTCGCCAAAAATGATCGGTAATTCATTTTTTTTACTTAAAAATTCAAAAAAAAAAACGCCATCTAGGAAGTTTGAATTAAAAATTTTTTTAAAGATTGCTTTTGATTTTTCAAATGTAATACTTAAAGTTAAAAAATATGAAAACTCTTCCCGGAAGCGGTTTTTGTTTATGCAGAAAAAAATGCAACAAAACGATTGGTTTTAAAAAATGAATTTTCCAATCTTGTTTTTTGTACCCTTGCAGAGGGTATTATATTTTGGGTAGAAGTTTGTAAGTTTGAAGGAGACGTTTTCGACCCCATAAAGTATATATATTCTTGTTCAGTAGACCTCGGATTTTGCATATTTGTCCATTTTTGCTCCGATTTTTACCAAAATTTGTGGGTAGGTCTCATATTTTTAAGTATAATAAATTCAAGTGCATATCGAAAATATGCAAAATATATGCAAAAAATATGCAAAAATGTATGCATAAAATATGCAAAATATATGCAATATATATGCAAAATATATGCAAGCAAAGTTGTTTAAAATATTTAAGTGCACTCGATAAATATTGTAGTTTAAGCAATATAAAACAATATTTTTCGGATTAAAATCAATCGCCAAAGAGAATCTTGTCAAGTGAAGTGAACCAAGTGAAATAGTTAAAATGCCGAAATTGCAAAAATTGAAGAACAATTTGATCAAAAAATGGTTTGATAGCATTCCCGAAAAGTGCTTCAAAATAGATGGTAACGAGATAATCTGTACTATTTGTGATAAAAAGGTAACTTTTTTTCCAAATTAAGCCCGTTTTAATAATGGTTTTATTATTTTAGATTTCGTTCCAAAAAAAATTTCAATTGCAGCAGCACTTAGCTACTTCACTTCATATTAAGTGGAAGGCCTCCGACGATAATGCAACTTCCAGCAACAATATCGATAAAGTATTCAAAAAGGATTTATGCACAGCTTTAGTTGCGGCTAACATACCATGGAATGTGCCTAGTAATACTACGTTTAAAAACTTCTTGAATAAGTACACTGGGCAACATATCCCAGATGAAAGTACGCTGAGAAAAAATTATTTGGATGTTTGTTACGAAGAATCCATTCGAAAAATTCGGGATAGTATTAAAGATGAAAGCATCTGGATTTCTGTGGACGAAACGACGGACAAGCAAGGCCGATATGTGGCAAATTTGATCGTTGGAGCATTAAGCGAAAATGAATCTAAGCAATCATTTGTGTTGTCGTGCAAGCAGTTAAAAGAAGTAAATCATGCAACAGTATCCCGATTTGTAAATAATAGTATTCGCATTTTGTTGCCAAAAGGGAACGAGAACAAAGTTTTGTTACTGTTAACGGATGCTGCAGCTTACATGATAAAAGCTGGTAAAAATTTAAAAGTTTTTTATCCAAATCTTATACATATAACTTGTTTGGCACACGGTCTAAATTTAATTGCTGAAAGAGTTAGAACATCATTTCCAGTCGCAAATTCGTTTATATCATGTGTAAAAAAAATTTTCGTAAAAGCTCCGCTTATATTTTGCATATTTTGCATATATTTTGCATATTTTATGCATATGCATTTTATGCAAATATGCAAAAAAAATAAAATATGCCATTAATTTTAAACTATATTTTTATTGAAACGAACTTTGGTGTTTTCGGAATTGATCTATCTTTATCCTATAAAAATATGCAAATATGCAATATCCGAGGTCTATTGATCAGGATCAAAAGAGCAGTCGATATAGCCTTGTCCGTCTGTCCGTCAGTCTGTCAGTTTAAAAGCTAGTGATCTGAAACATTCACAGTCGTCCTAAAACATGTGTACGCAGATCAAGTTTGAAAAGCGCCCTGATCGGACGTCTATATCATTGTACAATTATAGAAGGTAGTCTCGTCGGCAAAAAGCAGTCCGTTAACAATACTCACAACAAGTGCGAGTAAGAGGAGTGTGCGTAGTAAGTGCGAGTGAAACGACAATAGAGCTTGTTGTTAAACCCTTAGATGGTGCATGGGGTTTAAATTGTTCATTTATAGTAAAGATAGTTAAAGTTGTTTATAATTTAATTTTTAATAGTTTTGAAATTAATCGTTGTTTTTGTTTCTGTATAGGAATTTTTTTCTTCAGGTTCTTAATTAACAGTTTCTCCTTTAAATTTTTTGATATGCTAAAATAATCTGAAACGACATGTGAAAAAACACACGCACTTGCTTTCGACAGAGGTTGCAGAACGTCATCGTTACACAAGGGTTAATAGTCTGAAAAAAATTGTCCGCACACAACCTTTTCCTTTAACAAGTGACAAAAAGCCGAACTATTAGGCAGCCGACGAGACTACCTTCTATAAGTGTACTATGGTCTATATCATATAGCTTTCATGGGAACAAACGGGTATAACTTGCCAGAATTGAAGATATTTCGCGCAGTGTAAAAGCTATTGACATGAATCTTCCCAAATCGTATTCTTTTATGCATACCTTGATCAGGGTAAAAAGCGCGTGCAGATCGGACGTCTATATCTTTTAGCTCACATAGGAACAATAGGGTGAAAATATTTAGAATTAAATTAAATTAATTTAAATATTTTAAATTAAGTTATAAAATATTTTGTTATTTATTAAATCTGCTATTCTAGTCAAATTTTTTAATTGTGAAATCTGCAAGGGTATTGAAACATCGTCTTGCCGAAGTTACCCTTCAGTTCCAGATGTCACTTTTCCCTCGGTAATCACCAAGGGAAAACCCGAGGACATGTCATTTGTACCTCAGGACGAACCGAGGACGCCACATAGAGAAAATTGTATGGGAGTTCCGCTTTTTCCCTCAGTACAACTCAAAGGAAATTTTTTTCGCAGTCCCTGGGGATATACTAAGGGCCTTATACGAAATTGTCCTTTGAGATGTCACCAACCGGTGACATGTCCCTTATGATTTCACGAGGGACATTCAGAATTTGTCCATTGGGCTGTCACTTAGGAAAATCCATCATCGTGTCACTTTTTAAAAATGTCATCAGCAATTTCATGTACAAAAAAATTCTTTCCTTGCATTATATAAAATAAGAAACATACAAATTTATTTTTAATTTTTATTTGCTCTTTCATTTTATAAATTGTATTTTGTGTTCAATTGCTTTACTTACATTTTCGTACAATTAATTATAAATAATACCCCTTGTTTTTTTTGTTTTTGATATTTATGTAAGATTGCCGTCCTCATGAATTTGTCCGCGTATGGTGAATATTTGACCAAGGATCCTGAAAAAATTAAAGACAGACATATGTTATAAAATATGTTTTAGTTGTATATTTTTATACCCGTTACTCGTAGAGTAAAAGGGTATACTAGATTCGTGCAAAAGTATGTAACAGCTAGAAGGAAGCGTTTCCGACCCCATAAAGTATATATATTCTTGATCAGGGTCACTAGCCGAGTCGATCTAGCCATGTCCGTCTGTCCGTCTGTCTGTCTGTCTGTCTGTCTGTCTGTCTGTCTGTCTGTCTGTCTGTCTGTCTGTCCGTCTGTCCGTCTGTCCGTCTGTATGAACGCTGAGATCTCCGAAACTACAAAAGCTAGAAGGTTGAGATTTCCCACACATATTCTTTGGCTTCCTACGCAGCGCAAGTTTATTTTAGCCGAGCGCCACGCCCCCTCTAACGCCCACAATCGCCTACTAACGATTTTAAAATGGGTCCTGCGCCCACATCTTTAAAGATTTCCCAGAAGTATAAATGCATTTTTGTTGTGTATATTTATACCTATCGAAATGTAGAAGACATTTTTCAAATCGGACCATTCATTAAAAAGTTATACGCAATCAAAAATTATATATCTATCTCCCTCGCACTCCCTTTAGCTGAGTTACGATTATTAGTCGGGACACCAACCCGCGTTCGCACTCCCTTTAGCTGAGTGACGGGTATTAGATAGTCGGGACAACAACCCGACTATAGCGTTCTCTCTTGTTATATTTACCTTTTTACATTTTTAGCGCTGGTCACGGGAAATGTATGTATGTATGTACATATTGCAAGAATTTTTCCCCCCAGAAGCAATAGCCAACGGGACATAAACCTACCGGTTATTTTAATTAATATCAACTGCATATATGTAAATGAAATAAAATGCCACTTACCTAACTTTTAATACAATTGGTAAACACTTGTACAATTTTTTTAATCGCCAATTACAAATTGTCTACGCACAAATTTAAGCACGTCGTTCTCTTCGATTGACAGTCAAAAAATACAGCCAGTCATGATTTTGCTTTCCCGTTTTCTTTTGATTCATCGTCGCTTTTGCCGCGTGCCAATGCTCCTATGTATACCCTTTCTATTGAGTAAAAGGACAAATAATTTTTGTGAAGATACAAATTTTAATATTTTATTATTTAAAAGATATTATGGACCAATTGGACTTTTGGAATATTATAAAATCAATTTAAACAATAAACTAAATTAGTTAAATGTATTTTTAAAGTAAACTCAATTTAAGTTTATAACACGAAATTAATTTTTTTATTTCGGAATACAAAAATGGTCCTAAAATGAAAGGGCATACACATGTCGCTGCGTCACACAAATTTTACCGGCCAAATTTTGGTTGCTAACTGAACATAAATGTAAGGCGAAAAAGAGAATGACGGACCGGCCGAAATTTGTCACTGCTAGCGTCGAGTGCAGGCAAAATATAAGACAAGGAAAGAGAGCGCAATATATAAATATCAGCCTCTCTTTCTTTCATGTCGACGCTGCGCCGACTGCTCTGCTGACGTCGACAGCGGCCAAGCTTTTGACCTAAGGAATTGTCACCGACACGGGATGCCAGAACTGAAGGGTAGCTTCCGTCATCGTTTTGTATAACTTTTACAAATTTAACTGTCCCAAATTTTATAAATTTTCTAAAAAAAAATTAAGCTAGCCTCGGCTAGCTTATCATTAATTTACAAATCGCAAAAATTTTAAATTTTGTATTATTTTGACATTATTGTTTCTATCCTTCCCTATAGTCGTCCGATTGGTGTTAAATTTAATTCGAAATTTGGAAATTTAAAAAAAAGCCTATCCTAGAGTAGAAGAGAATACAATACAACAATACAATTAAATTCCCATTAATTTTTCGATCATTCCTATGGCAGCTATATGATATAGTCGTCCGATTTTGATAAAATTAAAAGGGAAATCCGGAAATATCACTATGGACGGCAGTCCATGTAGTGACGAAGCGCACCAGGAGAGTGTGCGAAGGCGACTACTATTATATAGCCGCAAAATTGAAAATCGGCAGTGATAGTCCGATCGTAATGAGTAATACACCAATCGAAAGGTATTGCAAAAACTTAAAGGATTGCATACCAAGACTTTAAGAAAATCAATTGGCTTGGGAGAGAGAGCGGTGAAAGTGAAAAATTGAAAATTTCGAAATTTGGAGCTGTTGGGGCCGGTGGGGATAAATGCCCCCTCGCAATGATTTACTTGTATTCCTTTTGAAAATACCCGTCGAATGAGGGGTCATTTGTCAAAATCCGACGCTCCGTTCAAAAGTTATAGCCAAAATAAGATTTTCTTCTTCTTCCCAAAATGAAAATTTAATTCTGTTTGTCAGTTTGTCCACTTGTCCACTTGTCCACTTGTCCACTTGTCCACTTGTCCACTTGTCCACTTGTCCAAAACATGTTTTTTAAGTTCTGAAAATTTGATATGACGTTCATCACATCGATATAAAAAACTTTTGTTCTACCACTTTTGGAAAAACTCGCTAGTTTAGCGGGAAAACAGCTATAAATAGCTAAAATTCGGAAAGCCGTAACTTCTATACTACTAAAGCTACAGACTTGTGCTGCATCTCGTTTGAAAGGTATTTTTAAATGCTATAAACGCCTTCTATATGCAATTTGTGTAAATGTAATAGTTAAAAAAATATGAACAAAAGACAATTTTTTAAAACTTTTTTTTGCTTTTTTTATTTTTCTCAAAAACGGCTCTAACGATTTTCTTTAAAACCTTAAACTGTATAGCCCTTGAGATTCCTTAAATTTTGGTATATAACACATTACTGTAAAAAGTCACGTTTAAAAGTTATTTTTATACGAAAATAGCCACTTTTGCCAGCTCGAACAATTAACGCTCCCTGAGTATTGAATTTTGTGGGAGGGTATCCGAACTGTATTTTAGGGTCATGGAATCAGTAAATTTGCACTTAAGAGTTCCATATAGGAATCTTTTGTTCTACGACTTTTGGAAAAAGCCGCTACTTTAGCGGGAAAATAGCTAAAAATGGCTAAATTTCGTTAGTTTTTAAGTTCTACACTACTAAAGGTACAGACATGTGCTATACCTCGTTTAAAAGGTATTTTGAAATACTTCAACGCCTTTTTAACTTAATTCGTTAAAATACAATAGTTTAAGAATTATGATTTATGACCAATTTAAATTTAAATGTTTATATTAGCACCTATGAGAGCAAAAGTAAACAAACAAAAACTTCTGATATCAAATAAAAACACCTCTTAACGAGGTAAAAAACTAGTGACGATCGCACCTTCAACGTACAAAAGTTCTGATATCAACTTTTGTGACGAAAAATAATTTTAGATGCGACTAAATAAGTACGCTACCTAAAATTTATTCATTCGGCACGCTAAAACAGAAAAACATTCGTGTAGATATTAAATATTTGCTAAAGCGGGCCGAACGAGTAAATTTTAGGTAGCGTACTTATTTAGTCGCATCTAAAATTATTTTTCGTCACAAAAGTTGATATCAGAACTTTTGTACGTTGAAGGTGCGATCGTCACTAGTTTTTTACCTCGTTAAGAGGTGTTTTTATTTGATTTAAAAAGAGTCATATCCTAGAGTAGAAGAGAATGCAAAAAAACCAAAGAAGCTAAAATTGATTTCCTATTAGGGGCTGTCCATATATTACGTAATCACGTTTTTGGTGATTTTTGACTCCCTCCGCCCCCTGGTGATCAAACGTAATCTTTCAATAAACAAGCCCCCCCCCATGATTACGTAACTTTTTTTTGCTTTAATCTGTGGAGATGCAACCCAATCTTTAATATGGTTTATAAATAAAGTTTGGTTCGTCTACGCTGAAATTGTCTCCAACATACTGACAAGCCATTCCAGGTCTTCGCATCCTTCGTGTGATTGAACCACTAAACATTCTCTTTTTCGCCGCCCAGCCACTAAACAAATTTTTTCTCTGCTTTCCTATCTAATTAAAAGGAAAAAAGTTTTTAAATAAATTCTTTAAATGAAAAAATACTTATAAAGCAAGAGAGAACGCTATAGTCGAGTTGGTGTCCCGACTATCTAATACCCGTCAGTCGGCCAAAGGGAGTGCGAGGGAGATGGATATATACAATTTGTTGATTGCGCATACCTTTTTATTGAATGGTCCGATTTGAAAAATGTCTTCTACATTTCGATAGGTATAAATATAGACAACAAAATTGCATTTATACTTCTCGGAAATCTTTAAGGATGTGGGCGCAGGACACATTTTAAAATCGTTGGTGGGCGATTGTGGGCGTTAGAGGGGGCGTGGCGCTCGGCTGAAATAAACTTGCGCTGCGTAGGAGGCCCAAGAATATGTGTGGAAAATCTTAACCTTCTAGCTTTTGTAGTTTCCGAGATCTCAGCGTTCATACGGACAGACGGACGGACAGTCGGACATGGCTAGATCGACTCGGCTAGTGACCGTGATCAAGAATATATACACTTTATGGGGTCGGAAACCCTTCCTTCTCCCTGTTACATACTTTCGCACGAATACAATATACCCTTTCACTCAACGAGTAACGGGTATAATGATTACGTAATCATTTGGAAAGATCCCCCCTCCCCATGTAATCAAACATAATCATTACGTAATCATTGTGCAAGTACCCCCCCCCTCCCCATGTAATCAAACATAATCATTTCAATGAACAATAAACAAAAGTACAGTTCATTATATTGCCAACATATAACGCGAATGAATCATGTAACTGAAAGTTCGTTTTACAAATATCGAGAGCAATGGTTCGAAAGTGCCGAGTAGACCTTACAGGGATGGATAACCAAATTTGACCAAGAAGACAGCTTGAATTTACAAGTCCAGTAATTAATTTGTGCAGGAACATAACACCATGGCAGGTCCGACGATCCTTGAGGGAGGGCAGGTTAAGTAGACGCAGTCTATACACGTACGATGGCAGGTGACGATGTGTTTCCCAGTTTAAACCACGCAGAGCAAACAAAAGGAACTGTTTCTGTACCGATTCGATAAGGTCCTGATAGTTATATAGTTATATTGGGGTGACCAAACACACGAACAATATTCAAGAATTGGACGAACCAAGGAAATGTATAAAATGTTTGTGGTTTACGGGGCCTTCAAACTCCTTCAACCAACGCTTAACAAAGGAAAAACCCCTTTTGCTTTACTAACTATGATACCAATGTGATTAGAGAAATTTAAGTTATGGTTGAATAACACCTTAAGGTCTGTAACGGAATTTATGCGTTCAAGTTCATTCGACCCAATAGAATATGTAGTGTGGAGAAGCTTCTTCCGATAAAAGGACATACAGTTACATTTAGAGTTGTTGAAAATAAACAAATTCTGGGTGCACCAAGAATACAGATTGTTCAGATTCGATAACGGCAAACAGAATTTTACGTCGTCAGCATACATCATAACATGAGCAGAGAGAAAAACTTGGGGCAAGTCATTTATGAAAATTCCTAGGTGGATCCCTCGGGGAACACCAGAGGTCACGAGGACAAGGTTAGAGACTGTGCTTTTAAAAGCAATTCTTTGAGTCCGGTTCGTGAAGTAAGGGGCTGTCCATATATTACGTAATCACAATTTCGGCGATTTTTGACCCCCCCCCCCATGTAATCAATTCACCATACAAAAAAAAAAATTTGCACTAGAGTAATCATTTGGTGGAACCCCCCCCCCTAGATGATTACGTAATATATGGACAGCCCCTAAGCTGAGATCCACTTAGTCAACGTGATCGGGAATCCAAATAGTATTAATTTTTTCAATAATAACTGATGGTTTACTGAAGTCCGTAACAATAACATCCGTTTGATTATCGTTTTAAAAAGCGTTTCTGATGACTGAAGTAAACTCAAGAAGATTTGCACATGGTCCAAATCAGGGCTGTGAACCACTCCAGAGCTAAACCACTCCGAACCGGAGTGGTTCACTTTTTTTAGAAAACGAACCGAACCGTAAACCGGAGTGCCGAATTTTTTTAATTGAACCGGAACCGAACCGGAACTTTGTTTTTTGATATTCGGTTCGGTTCACGAAAAATTTATTTTGTGTGTTTGTGTTTTTTATTCAACAGT